TCTTTTTTCGTTGTAATTTGAATTAATAACTCAATAGACTTGACATAGTCTTGGCACTGTAATTTCACCTTTATGATTCATCATACACTCTTTCACTCTCATCATAGTATCCACAATAAGCTGTTTATCAACCTAGTCAGCCGCCTTGCCTAGTCTATTGGCTAGCATGCCTTCCTATAGAATGAAAACGGATTTGCTCTGCATAGGCAGCAACTTGCGCTCTGCACTGGTGACTCGACTCCCGATTGATTTCAAAAGGTGCTATACAAAATTATTATTGTTGAGGTATTTTAGAAGGCATCCTAACAGTCTTAATAAGCAGCTAATTTGATTTTGGAACTGAGCAGTAGTGTCCGCTAATACATAATGTAAATGACTCTTCAGAATCGTTTTGCTCCCCAAGACCAAGACCAAGAGTAGGAAAGGTGAGATCTGTAGCCCTACAGACAAACACGATCTTGTGTTTTGTGTCCGATGGTAGTACTTTTCCTTATTGAGTTTGTAGAGGCAGATCGTTTAAAAAGGCCCAGATGTGTCTCAACATGTAGTATTCTACACTCTAGTCTCTCTTGTGCTTTCATCTCAGACCACAGGATAGAAATCCCCTCCAGAGGACGCGTAGCATCCTAGTATGTCCGTCCTATCTGTCCTTTCTGGTGTTCCCCTCCGCAGCCATACTCCGTTGCTCACCCAGGCTAATCAGGTAATGTTACGGGGGATTGAAAGCACCCCCCCCCCACCTGGTTGGCCTTCGCCTGCTCACACTGCGGTGTTGTTTTAAAGCGCATTCTTTCGGCGCTGAACTTGGAAAGGTATTAAAGTGGGATTAGGGGCTCCTCCACAATCCAGTGCTTGTGTCATTCACTGGGCTGCTCTCTTTCACCCCCTCTCTCTCTTTTTCTTTTACCCCCTCCTCTGCCCTGTTTGATTGTGGCGATCAGTGGGAGTTGAAGTGACTGTGCCTTTCAAAAGGGAAAAAAAGGGGTAGGGTTAAATCCCTACTCCACTGCTCCCTGCTAATTCCCCTTGTTCCTCCAAGAAGGATTTACTTCTGCTGCCAGCTTGTGAAAGGCTTTCTCTGCCCATCCGAAAAGTTAGCCGTCGCCTTCCTGCGGAGGTGTGGTTGCTATAGCAGGGGCGTCATGCGTGGCTATTCCATCAGAGGTCCCGCTGAGAATGGGGAACGGGTCAGGGGGGCTGACGACAGCCAAAAAGTCCGGATTAGATGCCGGGACAAAGCCAGGACAGGAAGATTCCAGAAGGAACAAATGGGAATTACAGCAGCAAAAATAATGCAAAGTGACAGAGAGGGGAAATAGAAAAATAATGGCTTACAAGATTAGGACGGGTGGGGGAAAAGGAGGTGAGAAGAAAAGAGACGGATGAAAGGGAATGTTTTCATTTGGATGAGAAGGATCCTGAGAGCGGGGCGGCGTCGAGGTGAGCGGGCGAAACTAGAAAGTGTCACCACTGCTCAATAGGGTTCATTTCCTGTGCTTTCCGGCCTTTATCGCCCTGGAATTTTTGACGCGGATTCACATTGTTGAATAAACATTTGATTGGGACTGAGTCATGACAGATCCATTATTATGTTTGACTTTTTTGACAGATCTGGCATGTAACTGGTTAATCCAGTCAAAATACTGTGTCAGCCATCGGTTAATATGAAAGTTGTGTGTGTTTGGATGTGTTTAGATAGCAGAGATTCCATAAATATGATGGAATATGCTAAATCATCTTGTTATTGTTACCCACTCATCTTTTTTTAATGTTCTTTACAGATGTTTCAGAAGATCAAATCACAGTGCTGTGGTCTTCATGCCAAAAATGACAACCGTGCTAATCTTCAATACTTGCTCAATACTTGATTTGTTGTGGGGGGAAAAAAAACATATATATTTTCATTTGATTAATGAAATCTGTATGGACATAATTGCTTGAACAATAGGGAGTAACCACAACAGATCAGGCTGTGTTTAAACACACAATGATGAAGGTGTATTCCGAAACATTCATTTGCTTCCTTCGCTCAGATTGGAGAAACGGAGCCAGGTAGACTCATATCCCATGAGCACAAGAGAATTGTCGACATGCCAACAGTTTAGTTAGGATTAATAGTTTTCCACTGGCAAATCAAAATCTTCTAATCTTCTTATTGTCCAACAATAAATAAAAGATTATAAGCTTATGTACAGCCTGCTCCATATTGTTATACTCCAAAAAAATAGGTTGTTAAACTTTTTGATGCCAAAAACCCCTAAATATGATGACCCAATACCCCCCCCCCCGACCCCCCCCCCCCCCCCCCCCCCCCCAAATAATACCCTCCAAGTGAGGAAGCTAAAATCTCATGGCAGCTGTATATGTTGATGTATAAAGACCCATTTATGGTGGGAAAAATTATACACATTTATATTGTAATGTAATTTCCAAAATCTGGAAAATAGTTACTAACTTAAGGTAATGACAGACTTATAGTAATGATTTATAGTATCTAAATCTGTAATGTAAATACATCTGTGGGATTTAAGTGGGATGTTTTTGTTTTATGTTTTTATTCAAATCTAGTGGACACCAATTTGAAAATTCCCATATCTCTAAAATACAAGTTTAACAGAAACTGAAATAATCAAAAAGCATAAGTACATGAAACCTACAGAATCCTCCAATGAGTATTTGCCAGTTATTTTTCCAGCATTAATTATGATGCAGCTCCATAAATGACAAGGCATTTCCACTATATGCTACGTCGGTTTATTCTCGTGACAGCTCAAAGGACGCCCGTAGAATCTCTGACGTGCACAACAACAGTCGCGACAAAAAAAGTACCCATCTATACAAACTCCAACAAACAGCGATGCAGCTGGTCGTGTGTCCAGCGGGCTGTCATTATCAGTCCCCCATCACCATCTCACAATGAAATTACCATCACAAAACCCACCATATTTACACATATTCATCTGAACTCATATTAACACATATTCATCACTGTCAACCAACCCTGTCCACCATCAACAGAATATGATGATGGGCATTCTCCCTGTCTCTCCCTCCCCGATGAACAATGCCACAGATGAAACGCAGAGATACGCACAAGCGCCGGGGCAGCTGTCCTACCAGCCAGATCAAACAAAAGAACCAAGGCTAATAAATCAGCTTTTATGGGCTGGACACTGTCACACACACCCGCTTCCTGTAGAGGTGGGCTCCCGCTGAACCTCAGAAGATGAGAGCAGGATGGCAATATCTCTGCCTGTAATGAAAGCAAAATGATTTTATCGACACCCTTTGGAGGAAATGAAGGCTGCGGGGGAGGCCGCGGTCTGTTATGTAAACAGACATGTATTGTGGCACGGCGTATGATTTTAGAGTATATCTGACAGGAGATGAAGATGCAGGTTCACAACGATATAGTGTAAATTTGCATACAATTTTATTATTTTATTTTTATTTTTTTCTCAGATCAATAGGGTTGTTGTTTGATTACTAGACGATATCTCGAGAAATAAAATGCAAACACTTTTTAAGCCATCTTCTCTAAGAAATAACTTCCCGTTTCAGTATCATTGTGTGAGTGGCGGTGGAGCCTGTCTAATCACTGCAGTGAGTGGGGTAAAGCCAGTGGAGCTGAGGGCCCACGCCGCTGATTGAGGTTTGCTGGTGCGTTGGGTCGAGAGGTGATCCCGTATTTCCTCCCATTGGGTTCTGCTGAAGCGTTGAGGGGTTATGCAGGCTGCATTAACAGATGAGCCAGTGTCAAAGCAGATCGCTCAGGGGCTCAGCCTCATGCCCCCTGCCCCCTTAATCACCAAACTATGATGGACAAGCATATGTAAAGACATTCACAGTGCTGTGATGCCTTCTGACTCTTTACTCTTATGTTAAAAGTCATTATTTACTCGCGTCATGTCATGTTTCAAACCTGTATGTGGTTATTTTTTCACCATATAGATAGTCTAAATATATATGTATTTGTTTGTTTGCTACATGTACAGGTATTACTCCCAAAAGTTGTCAGTGAGATTTAAAAAAATACTTGGTAACACTTTATTTTACAGTGTCCTTGTTACATACTTACCATTGCAATAACTGTAGATTGTGCATAATTACATGCAACCCTCAGCCAAATCCTAATCCTACCCTAACCCTATAGTACTGTAAGTACATGTTGTTAATTAATATTACTCATTACTTAAATATATAATTACACTGTAACAATGACACAATAAAGTGTAACTAAATAGATAAAAATTGACATTTTTGAAGCTCTATTTGGCAACACTTTACAATAAGGTATCGTTTTATTAACATTAGTTAATAAATTAGTTTACATGAACTAATTGTGAACAATATTATTCCTACACCATATATTAATCTTTGTTAATGTTAGTTAATAAAATGTTCATGTTCATGTTAGATCACAGTGCATTAACTAATGTTAACAGATAGATGTATTAGTAAATGCTGAGATTAACATTAACTAATGAAGTGAACTAATGTTAACAGATGAAACCTTATTGTAATTTATCTATAATTTAAATTAAAATAAATGCTGTCATCAAAGAATTTGGGGGGGTGGGGGGAATAAATGTATCCTACTTTCTACAACAATATTTTGTTATCAACATTGATCATAATAATAGGACATGTTTCTTCACCGAATCAGCACATAAGCATGATTTCTGACAGTGTGACACTGAAAACTGGAGTAATAACTGCTCAAAATTCAGCTTTGTCATCACAAGAATTGGTTACATTTTATAATTTTTAAATAGCAAACAATTATTTGAAGTAGTGCAAAATATTTCACAATATTTCTGTTTTTACTGTATTTTTTTTATCAAATAAATGCAGCTTTGATTAGCATGAGACTTCTTTTGAAAGCATTTTAAAAATCTTATCGACCCCAAATGTTTGATCGACAGGTTCAGAACAAAGTATTTATTATTTATTTTTTGACCTTTTATAATTTTTTCTCTTTCTCTTTGTCACTTTCTCAGGTTATTTGCGACCAAATGCAACGGGTGTCTGGAGAAGATCGCCCCCACAGAGTTTGTGATGCGGGCGCTGGAGTGCGTGTACCACCTCAACTGCTTCTGCTGCTGTGTGTGTGACCGACAGCTACGGAAAGGGGATGAGTTTGTCCTGAAGGACGGACAGCTGCTGTGCAAGAGCGACTATGAGAGGGAGAAAGACCTGCTCGGCTCCGTCAGTCCTGATGACTCAGATTCAGGTATTCTATACACCATAGACCATGATGTCAATGTATTCATAAACATTATTATTAAGGGAGAATATCATTCTCATCCGAAGACTTTCTTTCTTCTGCAAATACAGAAGATGATATTCTGAAGAATGTTTCAACTGTTTTTACAATGAAAGCCAATGGGGTTCAAGGCAACTGACTTCTATTTCAATTGTATGGGCAAGAAAAAGAAAGGGGGAAATGTGTGCAAAAAGTGTAGAATATGGCCCCTTTAAACAATTATAAGTGGAGGAAGAGCAGGTCTGACAGAGAAGCCACACTGTGCTGTCTGATGTTAAAGTTAAGTTGCTGGAAAAAGATGAGCTTGAATCTCTGAGTGACAAGAGGGATTTTATGCCCTGCTCACCAACATCCCCTCACTCCTTATCGGATGCCCTTTCCCTCACTTCACCGTAATGATGCATCTCACCAAGCCTCACTTTTAACATCCCCATGTGGATTTCATTTAAACGTGCGCAAGCACGCAGCAAACTTCGAGAAATTTGCCAGATGCTTCACCAAGACTGTATTGACTTTCTATGACGTTTGTATCTTTTCTGTTCTTCATCTATAATGTTAGACTTTTTTTGTATGTGTGTTTGGGTTTTAAGTTGACCTGAACACAAGAAGTGAAGTGCAATGGCAAGGAATTAATTTGGTTTGCAGCACACCACACTACTGACAGAAAAAGAGATCAGAAACAGATGCGAGAGAGGAGCAAATCGGCCCATCATGTTTGTATCTCCCGCTGATTACTTAAAAAGGCCAAACCATTTGCAGGCCTAATCGCCAGAGATGTTCACTGCTGATGCCACAAAAGCCACTGGTGCCAAATTGCAGAAGCCCTTAATCTCGAAAAACAGTCACGCTGGGAACGTGCCCATTTGGGTTTTTAACTTTTGAACTGGGCCACGTTATGGAGTTTGGCACCTTTTTTTTTAATTACTATTATTATTCAATAAAACACAAGCTGATGTGGCTTATTGGATGAAACCTCCACCCACTGAACAATAAAGCCAATCCCCCGTTTGACTATAATAATTACAGTATGAAAGCCAGGAGCCATTTTGTGAATATGGCACATTAGCTGGACCTACTGAGAGAGATTACCACGACACAGGGCAGGCTTGATTAACCCGCCCGAGGATCACCTAAGACTAATTGAGACACTTTGATTAGTTCATATGAACAGGCAGTGTACATTTTGTGATATGGGGCGAGATATCAAATTGAACTTATTGGATCTGTGAGCTTAAATTGTGCGTGTTGACTTTTTTGCCCTATGTTCTGTGAGCATGTACGCTGTTTGAATTTGTGGTTTTGCTATCTGTTTCACTTCCCCTGGATATTAGACCTCATTTCCCATAAGTACTCCACTTTCATACCTTCCCCCAAAACGTTGTATCCGCTGTGTGTTGGATTCTTATCAAAGATTTATATAGTGTAATACAGCCAAAGCTGTGCGCTATTAATTTTAAATGACACAATGTCCAGTCCAATGACAAATTCACATACTTCACAGTCAGAGTTGCAGTCTTGCAGTGGATGTGGCCCACTCGTGCACTAATAAATTGATAACAAAAGTATTAAAACCACATGTGTCTCCTTTCATTATGGATGCACTGTGACTGAATCTCCGAAAATTGAAAAGAACAAAAACATCTATTTATCAGTAGGTTGTCAAAAAGTTGCAGAGTTTTAAAAGTAAATACTGATTCTTCTGAATGATGGATTTCCTTCCAGAGAAAAGCGAAGATGAGGAACTGGATATCAAGCCGGAAAAGGGCTCTGGAGGCACTGGGAAGGGAGATGATGGGAAAGACCCAAGAAGACCCAAGCGACCACGTACCATCCTCACCACGCAGCAGAGACGCGCATTCAAGGCATCGTTCGAGGTGTCTTCCAAACCCTGCCGGAAGGTGAGTTCCTCTAGATCTCACTTTCCTTTCTCTTTTTGTGGAAGTCATTTCTCACTCAGATAAAATAAAACAGAAAATTATGAGATAAAGTTTAAAATAGGAAATAGTCTCATTGTGAGATATAAAGTTTACAATTACGTGAAATAAAGTTTTAAGAACAAGTTAAAATGTTTTAGTCGTAGATATGATATATGGTCACACTGTAACATGTAGTCATATAAAGTCAAAGTCAAAATTTCAAGAAATGAAATCACAGTTGTGGGATATGACGTCACAATTATGAGATATCAAGTCGCAATTATGTGAAATAAAATTGCAATTGTAAGGCATGAAGTCACACTGAGAAAAGGTTGCAATTACAAGATATGCAGTTGCAATATAGTCGCAATTGCATGAAATAGTGTCAGTTAAGAGTTTTAATTAACGTAGTAATTTTAAGACATGAAGTTTCAATTGAGAGTCGCAATTGTAATATATAGTAGCCTAACCTTAAAATAGTCACAATTGCGATAAATGAAGTTGCAATTGTGAGATGTCAAGTCACATTGCTATAAATAGTCAAATTAACAAGAAAATGTAGCAATTGTGAAATATCAAGAAGCTATTGTTAGATATGATTTGCAATTGTAAGGTCAAGTTGCACTAACCAAAAAAGTTGCAATTGTAAGATATGCAGTGAGATGTACAGTCACATTGTTTGAGATAAAGTCTCAATAGTGAGAAAAAAATCTGAGTAATGTTTTTAAACACTCTGAAATGAGTTTCCATATATAATACACAGACCTATCACTAAAGACATAAATGATTTTGTGTGTGTGTGTAATCTAGGTAAGAGAGACGCTGGCTGCAGAGACAGGCCTGAGCGTGCGCGTGGTTCAAGTGTGGTTCCAGAACCAAAGAGCTAAGGTGAGTACCTTATTAATCATCCAGTATTACCCGCACAAACCTGATAATGTACATCCAAGGACCAGATAACACAACAATTTGCAAGTAATCCTCCAACAACGCACTAAAGTCCTCGCAACCGCTGCCAAAAGGGAAAGAGCGAGTGAGGCTCGAGACAGCAAATCTCATTCGCTATCTGCCTGAAGCTTAACCTCTCGACGCATTCCACAAAAAACTCCCCAAGAGTTCGAGAGAGATGTATTCACATCCATCCTGCTCTTACGTTAGCGTCTGAAACCCACCTCAGAGCACTGATTTTATCTTCAAAAGGCTGCGGATAATATAATGCAGCCAGATCAAGCTTGGCGTAGTTCAAGCAGAGGTGAACAACAAGGAGCATCTCTCTTTAGATAGCCGAGAGTTGGTCTGGGGAGTCGCGAAGTTTTCTGATTGTGCTTTTATCGTTATTTTTTCAGATGAAGAAGTTGGCGCGGAGACAGCAGCAGCAACAGGAGCAGCAGAACTCCCAAAGGCTGGGCCAAGGTAAAATGTCCTAATATGAACCCGAAGGCAACCAGATTGGTCCGAAATACAACTTTAAGATGATTTGTTGAAAATCAACAAACATAAATAGCATTTATCTCCAATCGCCAGACGTTTTGTTGCGTTTTTGTAATTGCGTGGAGAATTTTTTTAAATGAGTCTGGAAATCAGAGTAGCCAAAGCATTTAGTAAAAGAACACATTTGTAGAATTTTCTGCTGATTTCAGTGAGTGCAGATTCACGGGCATCGTATAGGGAGTTTTACTCCATCTAGCTGTAACTGGTCAAAATTCAATGTTTGAAAGAATATCCAAGGGTAGAAAGTGAGGTATCCCATCTGACCTCCTTCCACATCATCCCTTGTAGTGTGAGTCGTGTCCACCCTCCCAAAAACAGGGCGAGCGACACAGACGCTGACCACTGGTCGCTGTAGATTAGGTCGAAAAACGTGTGTGTGGGAGGAAGTGTGGAGGTGGATGAATTCATTTACAGCATGAGCGCATTGAAGTTGCCTCCACTTTTCCCGTTCCCTTCCCTGCTGGAAGTGACCCAGCATCCTAGTTTCAGTAAAGCGGTTGTCTCAAGTTGCCATGCAGCCGGGCGCAAAGCCACTGTGCGTCTGTGATCTTCACACTCATGGGGTTCACGGCCTTCATGTTTTTATGTTGCTGATCATGCTTGGGAACATTCCATGTATTAATACCATTTTTCAGCAATGCAACAAGGCAAATTTTTCATTTTCGAGTGTTAAAGATCTAATCCGTAAAGTAGTGTCTTTTCGACAGTTAATATGTTGCTGTCCAACTGGGCTTCTGTAACAGATGAGTTTGGATGAGACTGTCTGGAAAATGGAAACGTGAAGAATATTATTCCAAGCTCTATGGAGGAGGACAAATGTTTCCTCTACAGCTCAAGAGTCTTAATTCCTGTACAAATATTTGTTGTAAGGCAGTGGAGTCCATTCCTCCATCAGTCATATTTATTTCTTCGCTCTTTCTGCGTTTCTCTATAGAGACGGTGGAAATCATCACAATGCAGTTTTATTTTAGAGATTAAGTTTGAATACAGAGAACACATTTCCCTCTTATGGCTGTGCTGGATAAAATATACACCTTATTGTACTAATGGCTTACATTTTAATAATCAAAACATTTAAAGCCAACTTGACTGTGGGTTTATGGCTTATAACATTTTAAGACCTTTCATTTAATGTTTGCACAAAGTGTGTTTACATTTTATATCCTTATAGCTATACATTTTTGTTGGAGTACTTAGGAAAACAACATTTTAATAATCAAACATGTTAATTCTACTGAATGTATGTGCCTAATAATATTGCTTAAGACCTGTTACATTTTAGATCCTTAAAGAGACATATAAACATGAGTTTTGTTCTTTGAGATAAGAGCTTGTCTTCCTGTCTTAATTTTCTGGAAAACTGAGGGTTTATATTGACATTTTATTGCTGAACAGACTCCCTTGTGCCTGCTCCCCTGCAAAGCCATAATCCAGACGATCATTGAATCATCTTCAGTGATAAACCACAAGCAATAATACTTTTATTTTATAGACCGATGTTGGACTATTCTCACGATGCATTCATTTATGGTGCTTTGACTCTGCTGTGTAGAGCAAAAAGATCACTGCCGAACATCAGAAGTGTAAAGTCATCACATTGACACTAGTTTCTCTGCGTTTGCTTCAGCACTTTTGTGGTCTTTGGCTGTGTCACATTTAATGGGATAATTCAAGTCAGATAGTGATCCATCTTTGGTCATGAACCCTACCCTCATGAACCAATAGAAATCTTTTCTCAGAGAAACGAAAGAAAATTATAGGGTGATGGGGACGCTCGAGAGAGACAGCTAGGTGTAGATGAACTATTCTGGTGGTCTGAGATACTGAGAAGTTTTGTGAAGTCAGACTCCCCTTTGGGAAATACCAAAGCGAGGCCATGATGTCATGAATCATGGAATTGGGCTGGAATATGTCATCCGATGGAGCCCCATGGTTAATACATCGTTATATTTGTTATCGTAAATCCTATCTGTCTTGGTTATAACTGTGTCAGCTTTCCAATAGCTTCAGCTGTGGGGCCAGTGATTGGTGTGAAAACATTCTAGAAAAGACTTTGCTGTGTCATTTTGTGGTTCAAGGGCATTTATAAGGTTTCCTGACATCTTACAACTTTATGTAGGTCACAGACAGAAAGAAAAGGGGAGGGGGAATTTGAGAATAAAAAATCTTACATTAAAAATAAAAGCTTTTCTTTGAAAATCTTACTTTGTGGATGGTCATAAAAACTGTAAACAATTTTTTTTTTTAAGTTTAAATTGAATTATGAAGTCGATGTATCGGAATGGTAATGCGTTTTACATATCGCTCTCTGCAACGTCGGACACATAACGGTAATTATTATGATTAGCCTTTTGCTTGACTGCGTTATCAAACAGCTAATAATGTGTGGCTAATGTTACACAAACCATGTTCCCATTCGCCATCAGCATTCTTAGAAACGCATTGAACTGATGTCAGTGGAGAAAGGCATATAGTTCATCGTAACATAATAATATACATCATATACATAAGTCACATGCTATATTGCTAAATGTACCCAATTTTCAAATAAACAGAAACATAGCGAGATAACCTAGCTTCTCTTGAGACTCCCCTGTTTCGCAGCTGGTAATGAAATGCTAAAGCACGCCCAAACTTTGACATGATTGGTTATAAGTTTTGTGACGTAAGAAACACCAGCGATTTCAAACCTGTCTTTAGATCACTGCTATTTTAAGAAGAGAATACTCAGCAGCGGTGTTGACTGATGAATTTGTGCATGGTTTGCTTAAAGCATATTAAAAACACCACATAGACATATAAACAACATTAAAAACTTGATTTTCACCACAGGGGGACTTTAAGAGACTTATTGACCTTATTGACACAGTCATGAGAGTCTGCAGGGGTTCTCTCTATGACATCATTTCCTTTTTTTATATCTTGTTTTTCCCCCCTGCATGTTGGTTGGACCACGTTTGATTTGGTGGACAATTTTTATATTTATAAGCTGTGAAGCAGTTTTCGTATTTTTTCATATTTTCTTTAGATAGGGCCAAAAAAAGCATCACAGTATCTACACTTTTATTTTTATTTTATGATACTCAGAAAAATCCTGGATTATGGGTTAGCAAAGTGTCAGTGTGGTGAAACTCAGCATCAGATGTCTTTGCATCAGAGTAGAAGATGTAATGGAAACTTGTGGAAGCCTGTAGAAATGAATTGCAGACATCTTTCTTGCGAGAGCTCACCACTCAAAAGCAGAAGGCTGAGATGGTGGGCTCCAGACTGGAAGCCACAAGAGTCATTCCTAACCCTCGGCATTGTGTGTGACTCATAGAGAACTGCCCTATAGGGCTGGTGTCACAGCGTTTTCTCCCACTACAGAACGAGAGTGTTTCTTGTTTGTTGGTTTTCATGAAATTCAACTTGATTTCGAGGCCAGATACCAGACCCAGCCTTGATTTTTGGAGAAACCCAATCCACAGAAAGTACAATGCTTACAAAACAAAGCATTCATGTTTTGCATTATGTACAGTTGTTAAACTAACTTCGGTCTCCAGTTTGCAGAGATGATGTCAGTCATTTTTACCGTGAGAATGTCGCAAGGGCTGATCAATGTCTTCTCCCCCCCTCCAGAGGTGATGTCCAATCGGATGGAAGGAATGATGAACTCCTACACACCATTGGCTCCAGCCCAGCAACAGATGGTTGCCATGGAGAACGGTTACAGCACCGATCCCTTCCAGCAGGGCCTCACCCCTCCTCAAATGCCCGGTGACCACATGAACCCATATGGTGAGCATCAACCCATGAGCTCTGTCATGTTTGCTCCCTGAAGCTGGGGCATGTGTTTGGACCACAAGGTTCACAGAATGCGACCACACCACCCTTCTTTCCTCATGAGATTACGCAAGCACACCCCTTTATTTTGAAGTATTCCTTCCAAATGAATTCAGCATGTTTCAAAACCATACTCGCCCCATCCTCTGTTCCCAGAGCTACCCGTTCGGTTTATTCACGCTGGGTCTCGTAGGGATTAATGGTGTAGTCTGTTATGCTGTGTGACACTGTCTATTGGATGTTTGGTAAAGAGCCGAACGATGATCTGTGGTGCGGCATGTAAAAACAACAATGGTTAACCATGATGACTGACGCTTAAAGTACCATGGGAAAGCATGGGTCTGCTAGCAAAACAACAAAATGAGCAAAACCATTGAGAGCCAGCTAGCCACATGCGCATTTGTCAAAAAACAAATAGCATCAATTATTAATGCATAAATGCCATTATGTTTTTGGAGAATTGAACCTCATGACATTTTAAAACCTGAACGTTCTGGCTCATTTATAAAAACTTGAAATTATCTGAAAATGTTGTGAAAAAAGGCACCTTAGCATAGGCTTTTGGGGGACTGCAAGGGTCCTCTCTAAGGTATCACTTCCTTTTTTTACTTATTTTGCATGTTAGTTGCACCATATACAGTACCTTTTTTTTTTTGAAAGATTATGTTAAACTGTATAAGTTTTCTTTTCAATAATTAAATTTTTCATTCATTTTAATGAAGCTTTTTTTATTTCATTATGTCATCAGGGCAGTTACAGTATATCCAACACATTCTCATCCTTTGGCCATTATAGGTGACGCCATATGACATTTCGTCGAAATCTTACGCACATGGCATCCTTTAGCGTCAATATAACACGCACTGTTATGGGTAGGTTTAGGTCTGGGGTACGTTACGGTTATGACGCCTTGGGATCTGCGTCTCATATTGACGCTAAAGGATGCCATGTGCGTCGGATTTAGACGAGCGTCACCTGTATGACGCATTGGGTTCTGCGTCTCATATTGATGCTAAAGGATGCCATGTGCGTAAGATTTCGACGAAATGTCAAAAGCGTCACATGTATGACGCCTTGGGATGAGAACGGGCGCGTATATCACTGTACCATGGGAAAGCATCCATGGGTCTGCTAGCACAACGACACAATGAGCGAATCCAGTGACATTCGCATTGTCAAAATTTGGTATAACGTTTGGGTAGGAAGCGAACATTAATTCCTCAGAGTGAGGCGGTTTCTGGACAACTACAATTGTTCTCGGTATTATTGACATTAACTTCAAACATTAGCCACATAAATCTGGAGACATCGGTCACAGCCAGCCTAAAAACAGGTCCCAAGTGTCTTGTCATTCATTCTCCTGAATGGCAAGGCCCAAATCCCCGGTCTCATCACACTCCAGCTTGGGTTTTATGGGAGAACAGCAGGGACAGACAACATTGCCAGCTCATTAAAAAACCATAGGCCATCAACCTGTCACTGTCTTGCGGAATGGTGTCATTAAGTACTGCAAAGCGTATTACAGCTAACTGTGCCCACAAGGAAAATGATAGAGCGACAAGATTAGCTCAGAAGTAAACATTTGCTATTAGCTCGGTTGTTAGTGAGAAACCATTCAGTTTAGCAATATCCGATTGTCTGGAATGTGGGATCCCATAACAAATACATAATTGAGCAGTCATAAATTTAATGTTGTTTATTTGAAAAGTGACTTTTAATATAAGTCTATGATCATTAACTTTCCAAAGTTGAAATTTACTTCTTTCAAATGTTCATTGAAAAAAAAAATATTATTAATTATATATAATTGTGTGTGTGTGTGTGTGTGCGCGCGCCCGATGGTAAGGTACTGTCATTGAAAGCTCGGACCATGTGTACTGTATATATTCTTTTTCCAAACAAAAATATATATTTACTCAGAAATACAAATGTTTTTGGAAAGTCACACCATATGACATTTTCAGCCTGAACTAACCTTTCCTTCATACAATAACTTGCTCATGAGGTACTGCACAGTTGGTTGCACCACATTATTATTATTATTAATATTATTTAATTTAACATTCTCATCATAGAAGAGGTATTCAGGTCATTGTATGTCTGATTTTATTATGCATTTTTTAATACGGATAAACATTGACCCGTTTTCTCTTTCCTCTTACCACAGGAAATGACTCGATATTCCACGACATTGACAGTGACACTTCGTTGACCAGCCTTAGTGACTGCTTCTTGGCCTCGTCCGAGGCGGGCTCAATGCAAGCGAGAGTGGGGAACCCCATCGATCGACTCTATTCAATGCAGAGCTCCTACTTTGCTTCATGAAAACCTAAAGAGACAAGGAAATGCAAGAGTAGGTCACTCGCTGCACCTCACTAGTCAGACGCCACCTATCAAGGAAATACAACGGAATCGTCAACAAAGCTTAAAGACGAGACATCTAAGATAGACAAACAGGCAAAAACAGAAAAGACAAGTGAACTTGAAGACTTACGGTCCATATTTCTCTGCAGTGAAGTGCCAGCTCTGGACGCCCAGGCGCCTGAGGCTGAGATTTTTTTTCTAGTTTCTTGTAGATTGTTTGTACATGACTTTCTCAGAAGTAGCATTTCACCTTATCCTCATTGAAAAAGAGTATTGATGGACAGTTTGACGTCACTGAAGCATCAAGCCTCGACTCATGATTTCCTGCCAGGAGAGGCAGAAGATCAAGACACAAAGCTCATAATGCATGAATCCATATCCTTGTGATTGTTACGTTTAAAAAAAAAAATGGAGAAAAAAAATCTTGTGTTGTTCAGATGTTAAAATGTGATGTTCGGACTCATAATTTCCTCTTTTTCATTATGTTCAGCATTGCATTTTTATCACTTTAATAGGTTAGCCCTCTGAAAGACAATTTAGAAAAGCTTAGAGGGGGTGATATGTATAGTGTATCTGCATTTGTAAGTATGTTAGTGTGTGTGAGCGTGTGTGAGTCTGTGTGAGTGTGTATGTGTGTTCCAGTCTTCTCGGCCTGTGTGTGTGTGCGTGCGTGCGAGATAGTAAGGTACTGTCATTGAAAGCTAGAACCATGTGTATATATACTTTTCCCAAACAAATCAGTTGTGCATGTTAAAAATGGAGATCATTCTATTTATTTAACTAAAACATGCTTTTGAAGGTACTTAAGAAACTGAAAAGCTTTATTTAAAAAGGAGAAAATCATGTTTAAGTAGCTGATGCATTAATTTCACGTCATTCTTGTATGTGTTTTAATTAGAAAAAACAATGTATCTTTATTCCAGAAATGTACAAAAAATGTGCTATTTATTTGTTTCAGCCCTGACATTGCCGAAAAATGCATTTCCAAATGCGAAGATCGCTAATTTGCCAAAGTCTGTTGGTAGAATGAATAAAGTCCTTTTCTCCTTGATTTTCTAGAGTCCACAAGGCTATTTGTGTACATTATCAATAATGTATTTTTTTGTTATTAGCATTTTATTTTTATTTCAATATTTACGGGATGATTTTGTTTTCTTGAACACATGTGATGGAAATTAATGAACTAGAAACTAAAACTTAAAAATGACATTTAAACAAAACAAAAACTAATAATAATGACAAAACAACAATTATTAAAAGAATTACTGAAATTAAAATGAAAAAAAATATTGACAAAATCTATAGTATATCAATGGTACTAAAACAACACAATGGAAACAATGCCATGTAAATTTGCTATTCTGATTTTTCAGAAATGTTATTCTTATTTATAGTTGTAATAATTATTTAATACTATTTATTTATAAATTACTTAGTATATATTAGGTGATAAATGTATCACTATAAGAATTAATTAATTAATTAATTAATATAATTATAAATAACTGTTTAATTAATGGAAATGTAGTTAATTGATGCATAAGCTTACGAGTTAAAGGGATACTTCAGGATTTAGCATTAAGCTTTGTATTAGTAGAAAAGCAAGTATTTTCGAATTACCATGCTTTCCACCCTCATATCCCCCTGAGACGAGAGATTTATGTATTTTTTTGTCTGGAAAAAATCCACCGATGACGCAAAAATCGTCATTTTGCGTCATCGGAGGATTTTTTGGCCAGAGGCTAAAGACTACAGTCAGTAGTAGGAGCTGTCCCGCATGTTTTCAACCCGCCCATAGAGGGTGGGATTTCACTCACAGAATGTAGCCTACACATAGTGTCAGCCATCTTTTTTTGGAAGCTAAGCTAGCAGGCTCTTGTTCTGTGGAGAAAGCTGAGTAGTAGGGGTTACCATCCTCTTTTTCCCGGACATGTCCGGCCGTCGATGTCCGGGATTCAGCTTTTGCTTTCTGCAGTCGCCATTCATTGTTTACATGCACACCTTTTGTTTCAATCTAACTGAATTCATTCCAATTGGTGAATCTGAATGTCGTGTTTACATGAACGCTAAACAAGTGATCAGTTGATGTGCGTTTTAACATTGCTAGGAAAATTCCCGCTCCTCCGTGAGAGACACCAGACCGGTGCGTCTCACAGGTGTCGTTCATCGGTAATCATGCCACCGGCCTCGCGCCGTTCTCCCGTCCCGCGGCCCTAGTCTCGTCCTGCTCGCCACAGTAAACATAATGAATGGCGACTGTAGAACGCAAAAGCCGAATCCCGGACATTTTGGGCGATCTCGAAACACATTTTCGGGCAGACTCATTACGGAGACTCACTAGACTTGTTGTGTAATGGTGCGTTCACGTGCTATGGAAAATATGATATTTTCCACTTGTGAACTGGTATTTACCAGTGTGTTGCGTTCAAGTGCTTTTGTTGTCGTAATGTGGTAAAAAGATGGAGATCCAGACCTGTTATTTAGCTAAAACTATTTTAGATTGCTTAAGTCGTCTGCTACAGCAAGAAAATTATTTATCAAAACTCAAAAGGTAAATAATATGCTGTATATTTTCTAGATCATGAATAGTACATATTTTTACCATTCACGACTCTCGCGTTGCTCTCCGCCATTTTGAAAAGGTCAAAGGTTATCTCATCTGGGCAACTCGTGCATCAAAATATTCTGCGAGTTGCCCAGTGGAAAATACCACATGTGGGGGTGTTCATGTGCATTTTTCACGTCGGCTTTTGGTATTTACCATAATTACCATAGCACGTGAACGCACCATAACTAACTGCTCTCTGTTACCGGTAGGCGTGGCCTCCTAGGGCAGCGAAGCAAGTGCATTCTGGGAGTTGTTGTCTTTCATCCACATAAGCCAAAAAATACATTTTCTGGCTTTTCTCAGTCTAGAAAGCTCCAAATTAAAAAATAATTTCACATTTCTTCTATAAATGACCCATTTTAAATACACATTCATCTTTCCAGAGGTGAAGTATCCCTTTAAGTTTAAAACATCCCTTCAAATATAATAATAATAATAATTTAAAAAAAAAACACTATACAACTAAAATATTAATAACACACTAAACAAAAAAGCATAATGGTGTGCACATTTCAATGCATAGTCCATCTGTCACACATGCATAATTATGAAGCCTGAGTGGACGTTTTCTATTAAGCCAATATGTTTACCGGAGGATATAATCTGTCTTCTTACAACAATAGGTTTTGAATTACTGGCTATGGGAACAAAGCTTTGCAAGCATGAGTCATACGTGTTCTCTGGTGTCACAAGATCACGCATCACATGCCACACACTGAGCTCATGCATGCGTGTTGGTACAGCAATGGGAGCTCTTGCTTTCCAAGTCGTACAGGCCGTAAATTAATCCAGCGCAGTTTTAGATTCCTCAGCAGACAGAGGCCTGAAGGCCAGATCTGGTACCAGCACTCCAAGCACTCTCTGATGATCAAATGGTGGTATATCTCTCATCTTATCTCGCTCTCATCTGCCATCACAGGTGTTAGTAGGTGTGGTTGTTCATCTAGTCTCTGTCAGAGCAGGTCGTATCAGCAGATTCACAGCAGGAACTCCTCCAAGCCTGGATCTACAGTGACACGGCAGCTCCTCACATGCAAAGAATTGGGAAGCAGCCTGTGGCACTCTGTTCGACCCACTGACCTTTCCATGGCTTCCTCTGGAAATGCATTTCTGTCAGTCCTTCCAATACTGACCACCCACTTTTTACTCAAACCTTTGCATTTCAATGAGGACTGTCACTTACATGTTAACACTAGCAGTGCCAGAATTCCATAACTACTAGAACTGCCACAAGCAGTCATTTTGACCGCTAGATTCCAAACTATATCTTTAATGATAAATACCCAATTGAGAGATTAATGCATTTATTGTATTAGGATATCTTTTAAAAACAAAACAACACCAAACTGTATATTTAAACAAGTTTAATTATACATTTATAAATAATAATATCATTAGTAGCCTACCGTAATTATTGCATATTCACAACATATCCATTCAATATAACCCAGAACAAGATAATAACAACTAAAAGTATCTTATTTAGATATTCTTTTGACAGTGAGAGAGACAAAGGTCAACCGTGGGAAATGTAACAAAAGAATACCGCGAAATTCAGTGGGGTCAATATGACTGTCTGGCCGAAATAGGTAAATATGTTTGTTTGTTTTTTTGCCTTATGTGTAATTTATATGAAAAACATTTTTAAATGAAAATACAGACACTTTTAGGAAAAGTCAGGTACCAGCAGGATTTTTTTTTTTTTTTTAACAAAGTTATTATATTATATAATATATCATGGCTGTTCTAGTGTTAACCCTGGATCATGCTAAACGGTAAACGGAATCCTGGGTTATCTTAATTCATGTTTCACACTCCTCAAAATTTACCCAAGGTTAACAATTAATACTGTGGATTCTTAAGATGACGTTTCACACTGTATATTCCTAAACCCTGGGTTAACATTCTTATTTGCATATGTGGGATGTCAGCACATGACCCGTTTACATAAAGGCACTAGCTGTGTACAACCTACCGTAATATTATATATTTCCAACTGAACTACCTCTTTTCAGAGACTTCTTTAAAGGTAAGAATGAAACAGTCTCTTCACCTCAATTGATGCGTTTTTGTCACCATTTTACATTTTCCCTTCAAAAGCTGAAACTACTGTTTATACAACATACAGTGTTTGTGTGACTCTCCAAAGCTTGTAAATATGAGGCACATGAGTGGCTGTCTGTTGCTAAGTATCTAATCGTAAAATTCTAATATAGATCTTCAAATAATGAGAAAGAACCAAATTGCTTACCACAGCTATGCAGACGACACACAGCTTTAGCCCTATCGCCTAACGACAACAGCCCCATTGACTCCCTGTCCCAATGCATTGATGAAATAAACGGTTGGATGTGCCAAAACTTTCTTCAGTTAAACAAAGACAAAACTGAAGTCATTGTGTTTGGAAACAAAGATGTAGTTCTCAAGGTGAATGCATCCTTGACGCTAGGGGTCTAACAACTAAAAATCAAGTCAGGAATCTTGGTGTGTCTCTAGAGTCAGACCTTAGTTTCAGTAGTCATGTCAAAGCAATAACTAAATCAGCATACTATCATCTAAAAAAAAATTGCAAGAATTTGATGCTTTGTTTCCAGTCAAGACTTAGAGAAACTTGTGCATGCTTTCATCACCAGCAGGGTGGATTATTGCAATGGACTCCTAACTGGCCTTCCTAAAAAGACCATAAGACAGTTGCAGCTCATACAGAACGCAGCTGCCAGGATTCTGAGCAGAACCAGAAATTATGAACATATCACACCAGTCCTCAGGTCTTTACACTGGCTCCCAGTTACATTTAGGATTGATTTTAAAGTATTATTACTGGTATATAAATCATTCAATGGGCTAGGACCTCAATATATTGCAGATATACTAACTGAATATAAACCTAACAGATCACTCAGATCATTAGGATCACATCAGTTAGAAATACCAAGGGTTCACTCTAAGCAAGGAGAGTCTGCTTTTAGCTATAATGCCAGCCGCAGCTGAACCAGCTTCCAGAAGAGATCAGATGTGCTCC